TTTCCCCCCCCCCCCCATTCAGTAGGCTGCCTTTTCATTTTGTTGATGGTTTCCTTTGCTGTGCAGAAGCTTTTTAGTTTGTTTATTTTTGCTTTTCTTGCTTTTCTTGCTTGTGCTTTAGGTGACCGATGTCAAGGAACTTCTCCCGCTGTTGGGAGTTTTATGATCTCAGGTCTCACATGTAAGTCCTTAATCCATTTTGATAGTTTTGTGAGTGGTATAAGATAGAGGTCTAGTTCCATTCTTTTACATGTGAATATCCGGTTTTCCCAGCACCATTCCTTGAAGAGGCTGTCATTTCTCCATCGAGTATTCCTGGCTTCCCTGTCAAACATTAGTTGACCATATATGCAGTTTATTTCTGGGCTCTGGATTCTGTTCCATCTTTCTGTGTCTGTTTTTATGCTGATGAATTGAAACAGATCAACTGCGGACACTTTGTAGTTCCCTCTGTGCTTCCCGTTGCCCCAGTGACAGTTCTTGGGGGACCAGGAAGGAAGCAGTCCTGCAATGGGTTGTTTCATGGTCCTGGTCTCAGCCTCCCTGGCAGCCTGTTTTAAATTTAGTCTCTTGTCATTAAGGAGACTGAGCTTGACTACTTACCCAGTGGGGTGAGTGGCAGCAAGCCCATGTGGACTAAATACCTAGGGAGGGTAGACGGGCCAGGGTGGGGCAGCAGGGCTGGCCTGTGGCCAAGGGAGCCTGACTCCGGCCCACGGGGTGCAGCACAATCTGAAGCTGGAGATGCTTGCCGGGTGTGGAGCTGGGCTGTGCCAGGCGGTGGTCACCTGTCCCCTGGAAATGCTCAAGATTCAGCTGCAGCGTGCTGGGCGCCTGGGTGAGGCCTCTCCCACCTTCGCGCAGGATCGATAAAGGGCTGTCAGAACAGATTTCCCCACGTTCGCACTCATCCGCCAGACTTTGACGCAGTCAGCGCTCCAGGTCAGTAGAAGTCTTTATTTTGTGGATTTCAACACCTCCAGCTGTAGGACAAACAGCAGGGGTGAGACTCAGTTCAGGAGGGGGAGAGAATGTTTCCCTATTACCTCTGTCCTGCTGCCTTAACATTTAGGCCCGATTTCCTAAAGATTTTAAGAAACGTCAGTGGCCTGCTCATGCACACTTCAGTGTTGCTATGGAAGCTGGCCTTTTGTGGGAAGGCAGTGAAAGGGAGGAGGACCATTCCTATTCTTTTGCTTTTCTCTGGAAAAGAAGTTTGGCCCTTTACTAAATCCGGGTCCTCTCAAAGACACAGTGGTCAGGTATCAAAGCATCTATCAAGGACAGGGGTGTGTCCCATGAAAGGCGGCCAGCGGGGGGCACAGAGGGTGTCTCCCCAGGGCAAGGCCCAGCCCGAGTGCCACGGGACTGACACAGCACCTGTGAGGCCTTGGGTGTGCGTCTCCCCTCCAACCAGCTGGCCACACATGCTGAGCTGGAATTTAACCAGATTTCCAGGCTGGATCAGACCAGCCTGAAGCGAACAGAACTGCAGAAAGAGTGAAGTCCAGACACTGGAAGCCCCCGCTGTGTTTTGATCTGCCAAGGGTAAGGTTCTGTCACGTTTCGTTTTTCAACCTGGACGAGAAGTCTTAGTACTCCTCCAACACTCAAAAAGAAGTAAAATTCAGGATATGGATGGGTGGGTAAATTATGTACATCTAAGGCAGACAATGTGGAAAATAATGTTCACTGATTGACCACCTTCTTAAAGCTACTCGTTTGAGACCTGTGCCTAGATTTCTACCCTATGAAATATGGTAAAAGGGGCAGCAGGTACCTTCTTAGTATGCATTGTTGCTCTGCTGGATACCAGTCAAAACTGAGGCAAGTAGCAGCTTCCTTTTAGGGCTTAAAATCTAGGCCAAGTGTCTCAAACACTGAGAATTTAAAAAATTAATATTCACACAACTTCAGTGCATCGAATGCTGTGGTCATTAATGAGACTCACCCACATTCAAAACGCTTGCATCAATAACCAATTTTCAGGGGAAAAACTCGGTTCTGTTTATTAGATGCTTAACTCATCAGATCATGTGCTCTGAATTACTCCACTAAAAAGGGTTGACGTCTAAAGAATCTAATTCCATAAAATGGGACATGTTCCCCTAGTCTTCGAATTCTAGAGAAAGGAGGCACCCCTTAAGTCTGAAGGGCAGTTTTTGAACAAAGATAATTTGCTGGTTTACAAATTACACAGAAGATACACGGGGATTCCTGTGTCCCAAAGTACAAGTCGCGTGAAACTACGCAGATAAGTTTAGAGATGGTTGAGGAATGGAAGAAAGATCAAAAACACAGTTTTAACAGGAGGGTAAGGAATTGGCGGAGGAGGGGGTCCTACCACAGTTTCCTATAAAGAAAGCCGGGCAGGCTGTGGCCGTGCCCTTGGGAAGCAGCCTAAGCAGCAGGGACATCCTATTAGATAATATAGACCCGAGAGAGAGCTCCCTGGAGCCAAGAACTGATGTCCTCACCTTAGGACAACCCTCAGCTCTAGGAAGGGCGGGGCCCGAGGGGCTGCCTTCCCTCCCTGCAGCCCGCTGCCAGGGTTCCACCGCCAGCCCTGCCCCGCGGGGCCCCCTTTCCCCCAGCAGGCGCCCGGCCACGGCCCTCATCCGCCAAGGAGCTGCTCCGCACGCAGGACCTGGTTGGGCTCTACTGGGGGCTGGCAGCCGCCCTTCTCAGGTGAGGCCTCTCCCCAAGCTGGACACAGAAGGGCCCCAGGGAACAGGCAGAGGAACCCAAGGCCAGAGGGACGGCTCCCCAGGGGGCCTCTGTGCTCTTCTAGGATGTTCAAACTCAGGACGGCAGAACCAGGCAGGGCTGCAGGGTCCGGTCTGGGAGACTAGTCTAGGCCCTTCTGCGGGGACCGGGCCCACATGACTGTCAGGTGCTCTGGCGCCCAGGAAGGAAGGGAACACCTGTGTGCGGACAGTCTTAAGGGGCTGGGAGGGCGCCTTTAGGTGAGGCTTTGGTAGAAAGGAGCAGATGCGCCTGAGGGACACAGAGAGGGTTCGTGGTTTCAACTGCTGATGGCTGTCAACCTGCAATTGCTCCAGGGGTTTGGAAAATGCTTCCTCTTTCCAGATTCCTGAGAACTTCACCCTCTCAAACCACAACGTGCAGCGAGTGCCTTGTGTAATAAATCAGTGACATCCACGTACGTGTTATGTTTTAATAAATAAAGCATATTCACGGCTTAGATCTTAAATCACATTTATAGACATTTCTAGGCCCAAACAGGTTAACAGTGAAGCTGCTGCTGCTGGAAGAAATGAGGCCCCACATGCACTTGAAGCCCAAAGAGCGGAGACCTGACCCCAGAGCCCACCACTCCGCCCCCCCAAGGCTGAACCCCAGGAGAGCAGGAGACCTGGGGACACTCATGCACCCACCACCTGACCCCTTGCCTCTGTGCTGCAGAACAGCGGGAAGTTGTGTTACTTTGAGACAAGCTAGAGGAAGGTTTCCTGATCGTACTAAGTGAGACTCTCGCCCGTCGGTCCCCACCAGCCGCGGTGTTAGCTACAGCAGGGCTTCCACTGACTGATGCAGGACAGGACAGGAGGACGACAAAGAGGAAGCTACGCAGGCCATCTTGTCTCTTCAACTGTCAGAAACGTCCACGTCACGCGGTGGGCGGACGCCACCTCCCTCAGGCTTAGTCCAAAAACTTCCTGTTGGCATTTGCCCCAAACAAGGCTCCCCGCACTTCGGGCATCATCTGTGAAGAAAGAAGCTCCTGCGTGAGGCAGCGCCGTCCCCCGCGCCTAAGCCCCGCCCCGAAGTCACAAAGCCCAGCAGTTGGCCAAGCGCCGCCCGAGTCCGAGCGCGAGACTCAGCGATCGCAGACGTGGACTCAAGGCCACTGCTTAAGGGGAAAGAGGCCAAGTGATGGGCGCCACGGCCATCTAAGGCTTCCGTCCCACACCAATCTGGGGAGAAGAGGCGACGTTCTGGAGCACCTACACCCGTTCTTTCAGTGGGTGCTGAGCGCACGCCGGGTGGAAAGCTGACAGCGCAGGTCTGTGCTGAGGCGCGCCGCAGCAACTGGAAAAGCCCGAGTGCTCAACCTCAGGACGCAGCCACCAGCCACATGCAGCCAGTGCAACTGAGGCGGCGAACTGCGCACCTTACCTAGCTTTAGTTAATTTAGCCACATGTGGCTGGTGGGTAGCACGGCTCTGAGGTTTAAGTTACCAGAAGACGACGGTCAAGGTCGGGGCAGCAGACCACACCCCTGGGAAGAGGCCCCGCACTCGGGACAACTCAAGTTTTCTGGCTGGTTTCCTGCAAACCCAGAAACACCTGAAAAGCCTGGCGCCCCGTGGCAATTCCTTTAAGAGCAGTTGCTTGACTTTCCATCATTCCTG